GATCCTTCAACACAGAGCATCTTCAGAAGACAAGTTGATAAAGTAAATTTTTAAAATCTGTATTGTTCGATACGGCTACATGTATTGTTGCACCCCTAGTATTTTTGTACTGTAGCTTCTCAAAAAATATACTGCATTCCCACAATGGCTTGCCTTGTAATACACACGTGGACAAAATTGTTGGTACCCCTCGTTTAATGAAAGAAAGACCCGCAATGGTCACAGATATAAGTAGAATCTGACAAAAGTAATAATAGATATAAATTCTATGAAAATTAAAAAATGAAAGTAAGACATTGCTTTTCAACCATGCTTCAACACAATTTAAAAAAATAGAACTCATGAAACAGGCCTGAACATAAATGATGGTACTCTTAACTTAATATTTTGTTGCACAAACTTTTGAGGCAATCCCTGCAATCAAACGATTCCTGTAACTGTCATTGAGACTTCTGCACCTCTCAGCAGGTATTTTGGTCCACTCCTCATGAGCAAACTGCTCCAGTTGTCTCAGGTTTGCAGGGTGCCTTCACCAGACGGCATGTTTCAGCTCTTTCCAAAGATACTCAATAAGATTTAGGTCAGGGCTCATAGAAGGCCACTTCAGAGTAGTCCAGTGTTTTCCTCTTAGCCACTCTTCAGTGTTTTTATCTGTGTTTTGTGTCATTATCCTGCTGCAAGACCCATGACCTGCAACTGAGACCAAGCATTCTGACACTGGGTAGCACATTTCTCTCTAGAATAGTCTTGAGATGTCATTGTACCCTGCACAGATTCAAGACACCCTGTGTCAGATGCAGCAAAGCAGCCCCAGAACATAGCAGAGCCTCCATGTTTCACAGTAGGGACAGTGTTCTTTTCTTGATTTTTCATTTTTCCCTCTGTGAACACAGAGCTGATGTGCCTTGCCAAATAGTTCCATTTTTTTCTCATCTGTCCAGAGGACATTCTCCCAGAAGCTTTGTGTCAGCTTGTAGATGGGCAAATTCCAGTCTGGCTTTTTTTGAATTTGTTTTCAAAAATAGTGTCATCCTTAGTCGTCTCCTATTAAGTTCACTTTGGCTCAAACAACGACAGATGATGAGATCTGACATCAGCGTTCCTTGAACTTGAAATTCACCTTTAATCTCTATAGATGTTTTTCTGGGCTCTTTTGTTACCATTCTTATTAGATGTCTCTTTGATCAATTTTCCTCCTGCAGCCACATCCAGAGAGGTTGGCTACAGTCCCATGGATCTTAAATTTCTGAATATGTACAATTGTAGTCACAGGAACATCAAGCTGCTTGGAGATGGTCTCATAACCTTTACCTTTAACATGCTTGTCTATAATTTCCTTTCTAATTTCCTGAGACAACTCTTTCTTTTGCTTCTTCTGGTCCATGTTGAGTGTGGTACACACCATGTCACCAAACAGCACAGTGAAAATCTGTAGCCCTATATACAGGCCCACTGACTGATTACAAGACTGTAGACACCTGTGATGATAATTAGTGGACACACCTTGATTTAACATGTCCTTTTGGTCACATTATATTCAGGGGTACCATCATTTCTGTCCAAGCCTGTTTCATGAGTTTTATTTAATTTTTTTTAGCTCTGTTGAAGCGTAGTTGAAAAGTAATGTCTGATTTTCATTTGATCATTTTCATAGAATTTTTAGTTATTATTACTTTTGTCATATTCCAGGTATTTCTGGGACCATTGCGGGTTTTTCTTTCATTAAATGAGGGGTACCAACAATTTTGTCCATGTGTGTAGATGCAAAGATTTATCTGCAAATATTGTTATTGTGTTTGTTTTTTTGTAACTGTTCTTAACAACATCCTTTTTCTTCATCCACAGCTGATTTTGGAGACTTCAGTCAATATGATTCCCAGGATTTTCTTCAGAAGTTTGCACTGTTTCCTATTGTAAGTATTTTATTTTACATGCTTTTTACAAGTCATAAAAAATATTTAACATTTTTTGTGGTTGTGTAATTGTTTCAAATGTATTCTGTCTTTGCAGGATTGGATTCAGGATGAACAGGTGCTGGAGGAGGCCACACAAAAAGTGGCGCTCCGCTATCAGTCATTCAGGTCCGTGAGTTTTCATTATCATCTTGCCTTTTTGTGCTTTGATCGACAGATGGAAAGCTTTACAAAACTAATTTGAAGTTATCAATAAAAATCTATTATTGTGGGTTATGTTAACAATTACAATGCTGATGCTAATATTAAGAAAAAAATACATTTCGTTTTTATAAGGGTCAATTTCATTACGGTAAATTGTATTTGAGACTAGACCTGAAAGTGTAAAAAGTAATACAAAATTTTGAAAAAGGATGGATGCACAAATCTTTGTTTGGATATGAAGAGAAGCACAAGCAAACTTTCCTGATGCATCTCAGTAATCCAGGTAAAAAATCAAAAAGAAAAAAATTGTATAGTTCTTCTGGACGGGTTCTTCTCTAATGAAACGTTTCGTCTCTCCTCCAAGAGACTTCTTCAGTCTGAGTTTCAGGCAAAATTCAGGCTTTTAAGCCCTGCCTCCATGTGACTGATACTCGCATCACATGGCTATCATTGACACCTAATTAACACCTATTGTTAACAGGGGGTGTAGTGATACTGGCAATAGCAGCGCTGTAGGAGGGGGACAACTGAAAACGGAGGCCTCCACCTCTGTTTAATGATGGATGGTCCTTCTTCACAAAAATGGCTTCTTTTACTCCTCTCTCAAACCATCGTTTCTCTTTATCAAGAATGAGAACATCCTCATCTCTGAAAGAGTGACCGCTGGCCTGTAAATGAGTGAAAACTGCAGAGTTCTGGCCATTAGATGTAGCTCGTCTGTGTTGGGACATTCTTTTGAACAGTGGTTGYTTTGTTTCTCCGATGTATAACTGGTCGCAGTCCTCCTGGCACTTAACAGCATATACAACATTGCTCTGTTTGTGCCGGGGCACCATATCTTTGGGGTGAACCAGCCTTTGTGCGCAACGCTGCGGCTTCTGAATAAATGAAAATGATTTAACATAGTTGTTTATACTTTTAGCAGCTCTTTTTATCCCACAGCTGAGCTGCTAAAAATGACAGATTTTCTTTTCTGTATCTCTGACAGACGGACTTCAATCTCTGAACTCGTAAAGTTTTTCTTTTAAGTTTTCGCTGCCATTTTCGTGAATGAACACTTCCTGATATCTGAGGCAGGAATCATAGCCTTATATGGTGTATTTGGGGTGGTAATTATGCTAATCTCCTCTCGCGTGCACGAGCAGCTGGATACGAACAGGTGTAATTTACGCAGCTCATTTACGCACGTTTCCTGAAGATAGAAGAGTTTGTTGAATATGACGTGACATGTTCGTACGAACCCTTTGTACGAACAAAAGTAAGAGAAATTTAGGATAAAAATACGAACATGTTCTTGCATGAGGCCCATTGTAAGTGACAGAGTTGATCATGCTAACAATGGGTCTTACCGGTACATCCTGTTTGTGAATTTTGGGTAAACCATACAGACTAGGAGTGGCCTCACCTGGGTAAAGTCTATGATACAGAATCCGATTGATAGTCTTGTCCTGCTCTAAACTTTTCAGGCAVTCTATTAGTTTCTTCTTGTAACCACTCCTGGATCTCTCTTCAGCGGCTCGTATGTGGTCGTGTCGCTAAGGAGTGTCATGATCTTATCTTCATAGTCCTTCTGGTTCAGAATAACTGTGCATCTTCCTTTGTCTGCTGGAAGAATGATGATGTTCTTGTCCTTGCTGAGGGTAGTGAGAGCGTCTCTCTCTTCTCTGCTGATATTAGAAGGTGGTGGTTTGGCGTTGCTGAGGCAGGCTGAAACTTTATYCCTAAGTTGCTCTGCTTCAAATCCTGGAATTTTGTTGTTTTGAATGGCTTGCAAACAAACTTGGATTCGAATCAGATGAAGTCTATTTTATCTATCGTTTCCAAGAATTAGCTATTACTATGTCCTTTAAGTCATTCTGCTTCAACCATTTTGGACGTAGTCAGAGTTTTCATGCTTCCTCTGCAATGTTGTCCTTTCAGAGGTTTACCAGCTTCAGAGGCAGAAATGCTGTACATGCAGGAGGTAGAGAAAATGGAAGGCTATGGCCAGGAAAACTACCAAGCAAAGGTATGTCTACACTATCCATTTGTAGTACCTCACAGTTCTAAAAAGTAAAGATATTTAGTTAGCAGAATGAAAAAAAATCATGTCTATTTTATTTTTGTGTGAGATCAGGACAGTACAGGCACAGATGTTACCCTGGGATCCTGCCTCGATGGTATCTTTGTTAAATTTAAGAATGGACGTCCACCTCTATTGTATAGGTAAGTTTAGAAGAATTGTGGAAACCTTTACATCAGATATACTTTTTTCACTTGTAGCGATAATGTAAATAAGCTTATTTGGCTAAATTAGGTTTTGTGGTACAGCTAACAGCTGTTATTAATTAAATATATTTTTTAATTGTTTGCTAGAATGCAAGGTGCTTAAAAACAAAACAAGTCAGGTTGATAGCAGATGGGAATTGTGGGAATGAGTAAGAGAAAATATTTGTTGTTTTATACATGTCAGTAATCTTTTTTTAGATGAATATGGGCTCCCACTTCTGTAAATTTTTATTTATGTACCGGTAGTATTACATCATGGTTTTAATGTGTTTTACTGTAATAACATGCAGTGTTTTTTTTCTTCCTCCTTTCTTTTGGCCACTGTGCTAAACAACTGTGTAGGTGGCATGATATTAACAACATGAGTCACAATAGATCCTTCTTTGCCCTGGAGCTGGCCAACAGAGAGGAGAGTGTTCAGTTCCAGACCGTAAGTCTGTCTCTTCTTAACTTATCATTGTCAACATTGTTGTTTTATTATTTGATTTTAGCTAAAATGACATTTTGCACTTGTCATAGATTTTACCACCAGCCTATCTGAATGAGCCTTTGTGAATAGAAGTTATTTATATGTGTTTTTGTCATTAAGTAGCATACCGTTGTCTAAAAGAATGTCAGTTTTTTAAGGACATACAGGAATGCATCTGTTTCAAAATAACTAAATTTTGTGCTGGGTGTCTCCCCATTTAAAGTCTTTCTGTTTATTTTTTTTGTGTGTGTATGTCTAGGAAGACATGGAAACGTCTAAATATGTGTGCCGGCTGTGCCTGGCCAGACTCAAGTTTTATAAGATTAACAGGAGTAGCCTGTAAGTTTTTGCTAACAGGCCCAGCCTACTTTGTGTCTCTTTATCTCTTGTTGTCTTCTGCATGTCGTCTTATTGTTTTAGCCTCATGTCTGTTTTCTTCTCCTCCTCTCTCTTCAGAGGGGAGTGTACCCCCCTGCCTTCTGAGGGCTCCCAGAAGTCCCTTCTCACTCTGTCCTTTCCTCGTTTTCCAATGCTCTCTCGTACCTCTCTTCCTTCTGATAAGGGGTGAGCAAATCTGTCAGCCACCACCTGCAGTGTCCTAATACTCACCTGATGCCACTACAGATTTATTTTCTGGAGTTACCATTGCTCAAACAAAATGTTTTTAAGATCCAAGTTTTTTTTTAGTAATTTTAAGTCATGTTTTTTCATCTAAAGCCAATCCATTTATAAAAATTCCAACTAAATGTTTTGCTTCCCAAAAGGTACAAAGACATTTTAACAAACAAGTTTTAATACTCACTGTCATTCCTGAAAAAGAATTGAAGGGTTGAGCTGAAGGAAAATAAAATTTGATTTCTTTACTTTTTCTTTGGCAAAACACAATTTCAAATATAAACAAAGACTACAAGAAGTTAAAAATGTGTGTTATTTATTAGTTTTGCCTGCATCATACCTTAAGGCAATAATTGGAATTTGGAGATGAGATAACACTTTTCAAAAAGTCTTCCTCAGTAGACCACAGCATGCTTTTAAGATAAAATACTTGTGATAGTAAAGCCTTTTGGTGTGTTGGGTGAAATATTTTGTTGTTAACTGAAAAAAAGAAGATATGTTGCAATCAATGTGACCTGGTGCAGTTTTCATATTCAGATGGCAAAGTAAGGTAATAAAGAAGACATTAATTAGGTGAAATTGATACTGTTTGCTTAGGCCTTTAAAAAAATAAATTTATTTAAAGTTTCTTTTGACTTTTTTTCCAACCAGCCAAAGCCAACCAGCAGCTGTCAACCCAGTCAGACGGAGGTCTTCAACGAGAGTAACTTTGGTAATCTTTTGTTCCCTTACTACCCACTTCTACAATAATGTCACTGTGTGACTATCACATTCGTGTGCATACAATTCTGTACTAAACTGTTGATGTTTGTGAGAATTATTTAACAGCATATAGTTATCACATAGTTGTATTTAGTTTCTGTTTTTGCAGTCCTAACCCCTGAAGAGCATTTAGATCATATGAGCTGACTGAATCTTGTTAATTTACAGCCAAAGCCACAGGGCTACATGATGGCCCCTCCACAGATGCACTATAATGGTCATTTCACGGAGCCTTACACATCATCACAAGGTAAGCACTGGTTGGAAATGGTATTTCAGTGGAAAACTTGAAAATTAGTTTGTTGGAAACGTAGCAGTCTTTACATATTGTAACATTTTTATCAATATTATTTTTTATTCATTTTGGCGTGTTTTTATTTCATAGACAACCTGTACATGAACAGTCAGAATGGTTACTACTACCACTCACAGACCAGCCTGGACCGTTCTCCTCTAGAATACAACAGTGGAGGGCGTTTACGTAATGGCAGTGTGTACAGCGCCCACAGCACCAGCTCTCTAACCAATCCCCAGCACTACCTTCAGCCCTCACCCATGTCCTCCAACCCCTCTATCACCAGTGACATCACCAGGCCAGATTACGTTCCCTCCCATCGCCACAGTGCGCTCATCCCACCCTCCTATCGTGCCACCCCTGATTATGAAACGGTGATGCGCCAAAAAACGCGTGGTGTGGGGGGAGGAATGGTTTTGTCTCAAGAACATCGGCAGAGTCACTCCATGAGGAACTTAAACATTGGAAACTCGTATGCCTACAGCAGACCAGACCCTCTAGTTTACAGTCAACCAGAAATAAGGGTAGAACATGGTGGAACATCTCATCATCACCAATATCCCTTTCACCTGGGCTCCAGCTTCCACAGCCCTTCTCCATACCCCTATCCAGTGGAACGTAGGCCTGTTGTGGGAGCAGTCAGTGTCCCGGAGCTCACAAATGTCCAATTACAACAGGCGCAAGAGTATCCAGCTACCAACATCATGAGAACTCAAGTTTACAGACCGCCTCCACCTTACCCATACGCCCATCCTCGTCCTGCTAACAGCACACCTGATCTTTCACGTCACCTGTATGTCAGCAGTAGTAACCCCGACTTAATCATCACAAGGCGTGTGCATCACTCAGTCCAGACCTTCCAGGAAGACAGTCTGCCTGTTGCACACTCTTTACAAGAGGTGTCCGAACCTCTTTTCAGCGGGCCTCCACATCGGCAGCCATACCATGCTCAGAAACGTAACTCAATCGAGATTGCTGGTTTGGCTCACAGTCTTGAGGGAGTGAGGGTCAACGAGCGAACTGTGTCTTCCTCAGGAGCAGAAACAGCCACCCCGTCTCTAGTTGTTCATGGTGGTCCTGCTCAGGGGTCCCAACTTGATGTGTTTTTGGAGCATACAAAAACAGAAGAGAGGGGGGACATTAAAGAAAGAGTCAAGTACGGGCACAAGAAGTCCCTATCTGATGCAACGATGTTAGTTCACAGTAGTGGAGAAGAGGAAGAGTTTGAGGACGATAATGGATGCCACACTCCACTTTCACAGGAGGCCATTCAAGGTATTATTCCCGAGCAGCTACTGCAGCAGCACGGTAGCCTGAACCCTCTCTCTTCTCTGACAACACAACAGACACCCACAGAACCTCCTCCTGCATATCCCATTGGTTCTGCTCTGGACCCCTCCATGACCAGCTCATTAGTCTATAAAGTTCATCCCCTGATCCATAAGAATGAGCCCCTTTACCTGCTGTCAGAATTAAGACAACCTGAAATTATGCCCTCGATGTCAGAGGGAGATGTGAATGAGCAGACAAATGAAAAGCCCAAAAAAGATTTTAAGAAGAGGCCTGATGTGTCTGACGTGACTTCTGGGAGGAAAACGGGAGATGGTTTACCCCCACCAGTAAGTTCTCCTGTGTATTTCTTGTTTTGAACCCTTTTTTTAACTCTGAACTTTATCAGCTGTTTTTTACATTATTAAAATAGTATACTGGTGATCAGAAAAATGTACAAGTAAGAAGTGAAAGTGGGCAGTCACTCATGTCAACATGCATAGTTTATTGTTTCTAAGTACAGGCATTTTACCTTTGACACTTGAAGAAAACGTGGGCCATAAATTCAGGCATTAAAGACCCAATAGGTAAAGGATAATAAAAATACAGAAAATAAGCCATGGTTAAACTTTAGACATGAATGCACACATTTAGGATTAAGTAATGGCAGAAGGCATGTTAAAAATGTAGACCAAAGATTATCTTGGACTGCATAACGTAGAAGCAGTCACTTTAATTTTTGGCCTCTATGACTAAAACCATAAAATCACAAACCCAGTTCGTTTTTGTTGCTGTTACACTGACATAACAAAAGCAGATTTCTAATATTAGAAGCATTTCAATAACCCAGGTAGAAAAATCTAAACAAAAAAAGTTGAGTAGGTTTTCTGGACGAGTTCTTTGTTGAAGCTCAGCCTTGTAAACAGTGCTTATGTTTACCTGTAACTCCTCAGACTGAAGAAGTCTCCTGGAGAAGAGACAAAATGTTTTTACAACAAAGAACTCGTCCAGAGAGCCTGCTCAATTTTTTATTTGTAGTTTCTATTTTTATTTTATTTTTTTGTATATTCTTAAAATTTCTCAGCATGTTCTACGTGAACTTGAAGAGAAAATACAGTGAAGTTTTGTCCAGTTGTGGTTGGCACTTTCCATAACCAAAGAATGTAGTGGAACTACTTTGCTGAACCAGAAAGGCAACATTCTTCCAGTAAACCTTCCAGGCATGTGCTGGTCCCGCCTCCTTTTGTCATCTACTCTTCTGTTTTCTCTGAAACTCCTACAAATTCAGCTTGATCTTTACTCTGTCACACCAGGGAATGAAGAAATGCTCGGTGAAGAAGATGGGCCCTCTGAAGGTGGCTCGTCTCAATGGCCTCTCAGTGTCCAGGAAGCCAGTGCAAGAGGAGATCAAAGACGAGCCTGAGCAAATTTCGAATGACGAAAAGGTAGAGCATTTACTTTATCACGGACTGTCCTTTTTATAAAAAACAAACATTTGTAGCGTTTTGTGTTTTTCTGACATGCTCAAAACCAAAGAAATAAATGTTCTGTGTCTGGTGTTACAAAGTTAACCATCTGGAACAGCTGGTATTTTTGTTACTAAGATCGTCATCAGACTTTGTTGTGAGAAAAACATTTAAGGATAAGGTTTCAAGGTTCCAACCTTTAAACACGACAAATAGCAAATTTATGGCACATTTTTTAAGTAAATCAAGTTGTTGCTTATTGTAGATTCTTAAAAAAATGCAAGAATAATTAACTCTAGATTTACGTTACTACCTGCTTTGAAAGTATTTTTTATTTCACTTAAGTACATGCAAATTAAAGGATTATAGTAAAGCAAGAGGAAGGAACTTAAAGGTGAAATGAAGGAAAAAGCCCCAAAAATGTGTATTTTGCATATTTTGCATTCATATAATGTTTTATTTAAAATTGTGATTTAAATTGTTCACAACTTTAATGAGAAAATATTAAAAAATATGATTTTTCACCTGCTAAATGGAGTCACGGAGCAGAGCCCAAAATCATAATTTTTGTTGCTAAGGTAAACAGTTGTTGCTATGTAACGTCAAACATGTCAAACGATCCGACTTCTTATTATACGCGCCTATGATACTGAATCAGATTTCACTATGAAACTAAAGATAAAAATCATTCAGCCATACAGATATGAACCAGTCACACAGAGTGGAGAAAGCAACTAACCGGAGTGTCTTTCTGGTTTCGGRCCGAGCAGTTAAACGGGCTGAAGATGCTGCGCTGCTGGTTCTAAAATATTTCACCGTCTGCCCACCTGCAGCACTCCGTGTCATAGTGAAGCAACAGTGATAGCTGGAAAAATAGTTGTTTCAATGTTGAATCAGTGTTGTTGAGTGAAGGGTCGGAGGAGGAGAAGCTTATTAT